CTCTGCACAAAAGTCAGCCAATAGGTGCTGGGATTTCTGGAGGCAACCTTGAACTAGATACACAACTTGGCCTTGTCCTGAGAAACAGGACACTGAAGGGCAGGGAGAGCACTCCAGATAGTGAAACAGAAGATTCTGTGCAGACCGTGAACAAAGATATGGGCACAATATGTGCTCAAAGGACCCTTGAGAGGTGACCTTGATGGTGCGGAAGAACAAGATGGGCTGCAGGAAGGAATGCAGCCCTCCAATGCTGTGTGACAAAGTAAGCCCAAACTCAATGCTTCAAACAATAGCAACATTTAGTTTGCTGTCAAATCTGCAACCTGTACAGGGTTCAGTTGGGAATAACTCATGTCTGTTTTAGGCTGGGAACAGAATCATCTGAGGGCTCTCTCAGTAACATGTCTGGCAGTTGACAGTGGCTGAGGGCTGAAACACTAGTTGGCGTGCTCAACTAAACACCAACATGAAGCCTCCTCATGAGTGATGAAGCCTGAGCCTTCTTAAAATGTGATATCTGACTTTTAAGGATTGTAGACAGAAAACTCTAGGTAGATTCTCTACTCATAGTTAAGACCTGGCCTGAGAAGTCACAGCAACACTGTGGCTCCATTATCCTCACTAGAAATAAGTTGCTATGATGGGCCCATATTCAAAGGGAGAGAACATACACCTCACCCTTTGAGGGTCACCGTCACACTGCAGGAGATGTGTGTGGGTAAGAAATATTGATGTTGTCATCGTTGTAAAATATGATCAGCCTCAGCAGGGTATAGAGCCAAAGAGGCAGGCCAAGCAGGGTACAAGACCTGTAATATAAAGGACCTCACACCAAGACTATTAGCTTTTATGTCATTGGAAGTGGGAGCCAGTAAAAGAGGTTGATTTGGATAGGACCTGCTTGCATCTGTGTTTGAGAAATCTGTGTTTAGGGTGGGTTGATAGAAGATTTGGAGGACAGACAAGAGACCTGTGAGAGGGTATTGTAGTAATCTAGGGGAGAAACGGTAAGGGCCTGAGCCAAGGCCTGAAGATAAGGGAGGAACTCAGATATGAGAGACACCAAAAAGAGATCACAGGGTCTGGCAATGGGGTAAATGTTGGGAGTGTGCAAAGGGTTGTGTGGGAATATTCCTGCTTTCTAACTTGAGAAACTGAGTGAAAGTGAGAGGGTGGAGGAAAAAAGAAGTTTGTGGGAGAAAACAATATGTGAGTCATTTGGCGAGTGATTGGTGTAGGGAGTCTGAGAGTATATAAGCAGACATGTCCAAGAGACAGCAGAGTATTCTTGAGCGTAGAGTTCTAGAGAAAACTTTGGAAAAGGAACCAAGATTTGACAGCCATCATCCTGTGGACAAATGGGATTTCCCAAGAGCATGAGAAAAAAGGGTATGTGCTCAGAAGGAAAACTACCACAGTTTTAGGAGCATTAGCCTTCAGGGGATGGTCAGAGGAGGAAGACCTGGCAAGGCATTAAATATTAGATCGCCTCTTTCCTTGAGTCTGGACTGACCCAGGGAATAACTTGAGATTAACTGTGTTTGCTGTCTTGAATCCATGAACAAGGATCAGGCTGACTAATCTCATCACCTTCATCTTCACTTTTGTCTCCACCACCATCATCATCATCAACACCTTCACCACCATCATCATCGACATCAGCACCTTCACCACCATCATCAACAACAGCAACACTTTCACCACCACCATCAGCACCTTCACCATCATCATCAACATCAGCACCTTCACCACCATCATCATCAACACCTTCACCATCATCATCATCAACACCTTCACTGCCATCATCAACACCTTCACCACCATCATCATCATCAACACCTTCACCATCATCATCATCAACACCTTCACTGCCATCATCAACACCTTCACCATTCATCATCATCAGCAGCAGCAGCAGCAGCACCTTCACCACCATCATCAATAACAGCGACACCTTCACCATTATTGCCATCAACATCAGCACCTTCACCATCATCATCACCGACACCTTCACCATCACCTTTACTGCCACCTTCACCTTTACATTCACCACCACCTTTACCGACACTTTCACTTTTACCATCACTTTTATTATCACCACCACCTTCACTTCCACTAATACTGTCATCATCAACATTAACACCATCACCATCACCAACACCCCATCTTCACCAATACCTTCTGTCCTACTCAGTGTTAACAGTCAACTTAACACAGCCTAGAATCACCTGAAAAAAAGTCTTTTAGTTGAGTAATTATCTTTATCAGGTTGTTCTATGGACATGTCTGTGAGGGATTGTTTTGATTGCTAACTGATGTAGAAGGACCCAGGCCACTGTGGATGGCACCATTCTCTGGGAAGGTGGCGCTGGGCTGTATAAGGAAGCTAGCTGAGTATGAGCCTGAGTGAGCCGACAAGCAGTGTCCCTCCATGGTTTCTACTTGTTCCTGCTTGAGTTCCTGTTGTGACTTCTCTCAGTGATGGATTGCAACCTGCAAGATGAGATGCACTTTTTCCTCCCCTAAGTTGCTTTCGGTCAGAATGTTTTATTACAGCCACTGGAGGAAAACTAGAACACCTTCTTACCCTTATCATCGCCGTTAATATCATCTTCACCCACACGTTTACTTTTTTCCATCACTAACATCCTCACCATCAAGAACACCATCACTGTCACTATCACCACCACCTTTACTTTTACCACCAAGTTCACCTTCATCATTACCGTTACCTCCACAGACACCTTCACCATCAACACCACCAATTCATTACTACCGCCGTTGCCATTATCTTCACCATCATCACATGTTGCTTTCTGGAGTCTCTTTGAAAGCTCTCATTTTCCCTTCTGCCTACAATGGCAGATCCTATGGATTTGGGGGAGTTTTTGTTGGGTTTTCTCTTTCTGGCCCTTCTCTGCATGGTCAGAGTCAATACATGCTGTTTAGTCCAGGAATTGTGATAAATTTTGTCCATAAGATTCTTCTAGACAAACTTTTTCAAAAGTGACATTTGGGATTTTACTTCTATTGATTTTAATTCAGTAGATCTTGGCTTGGGCTTTAGCCTCTATTCCAAAGAACCCCCCCCCCATCTGTCTAGATAACTTTGACTCAAAGTTGGCTTAAGAATCAATGACTTAGCTCATTTACCTCAAAGCTGGGACAACTAAGGGCTCAAGAGATGGAGACTGGCTAAGATTGTTCTACTGAGTGAGAGACACGCTCAGACCTGGCCCACTCCACACATCTTGAGTGGCTAGCATCTAAGCTCCAAAAGTTATTTTCAGACACTATGCTGGGCACTCAGGTTCCCCATCTATGAATCTCGGCTTCTCCATCTGGTAAAATGCCTTTATCACAAAATATCAAGAGGATTCCAGTGTATGGAAGGAAGCACAGTTGTGGCTTTCTGGGAAGCCAGGCTAGAGGGCCGCCTCTGGCTCCCAGTGGGCTGACTGTTTTCTATCTCTGGTGAGGAGGGAGGTAGTTGTCGGGGCTCAGAGACAGGCAGCAGTTGAGAGAGATATCTGGTTTCCTAAGTGCAATGACCGTCTCAGATTTGGAGGCCATAAGTGCAGATGGGTGGAGATGCAGTGAATTCTGGACTATGTCAGAAGCCTCAGACTGCCAAGGCTCTGTTCTAGCAGGTAGAAAACTCCAAAGGCTGGAGGGAGGCCCCTGCAAAGAGGTAGGCTCAGTTTTGGAGGGAAATGGAAATAAGGGCAAAGTCCCAGTTGCTCTTCTGAGATACCAGTCTTTCAATTAAGAGAAGAACTTTGGCAGACTATGAAACACAACAGCACCTCACCCTTCCCTGGAGGAAAAGCATGACCCAGAAGGCCACCTTCCAGGTACTGTTTGGTGATGTGAGACTCCTGCTTGGCATCTGTTCATGCCTGGCCCGACTGCTGAGATCCTAGGAGGGCCCAGAGATCCACCTGGAATTGACTGAGGATGGCATTAAATCCCTCTCCCATCCTGACAGATATGTATCTATCATTGTCAACATTGGAACTCACATTTACTCAGTATTCATAGGACAAAGCATGTGAGGCCAAGTGAGACACAATGACAAATGGCCTCAGGCCCTTACCCCAAGGCCTTGAGCATCCATTCGGAGGGGAACAAGTACAATCACAGATGTTCCTGGTAAGAGGCCAAGATAGGCTTGCTAAGAAGCTTGATGAGGATGGGAATGGGGCTATTCATTCCATCAGGTGATTCCAAGATACATCCGAGTTAGTGTCTTGGAGACACTAGAGGTGGACCTTGGAGGATGATGATTAGAATGGAGGACAGGCCAGGAGAGTAGAGCAACATGACCAAAGGCTTGCTTGTGTCACTGAGAGTGGTCTGAATTGATTGGAGAATGGTTGTCAGTCCTCCCAGGGAACAGGAGGAAGATTGACAAGCGGTCCATGGATTGCATAGGTTGCATGGGAGCAATTCAAGGTGACAAAAGCCCTTGATGCTTGGTTAAGTCAGGCCTTTGCTTGGAGATGACTGTCCCTGTGGTTTTAGTGGATTGTTTATGACAACAATGATAAGATTTGATAAAAGGCTGGAGATGTAGCTCATTAAGTAGAGTATTTGTCTAGCGTGCACAAGCCCTGGGTTCGTTGGATCCCTGGTACAGCATAAACACTCAATGTGGTGGCACATGGCTATAATCTCAGCACTTAGGAGGTAGAGGTGAGAGAATCAGAAGTTCAAGGTCATCCTCAGTTACATAGAGAATTAGAAGTCAACCTAGGAGACATTAGACAGGATCTCAAATAAAAATCTGGTAAGGCTAGGAATGGCTAGTATTTTGCAGCAGTCCCTGTGGGTTGAAACATGGTATGGTGCTGATAGCATTTCACCCTCAGAACCGTCATGGGAGGTGTTTCCATGAGGGGGAAGTTCTGGTTCCCGGGCCTCCATGCCCCAGAGACCCTGGGTAAAAGGTTGGGCCACTGTGCAGAGGCCTCAAAGGACTGTTGTCTGTTATGCAGGTGTTCGTGCTTTGTCATGGCCTCCTGCAGCTCTGCCAGCTCCTCTACAGCGCCTACTTCAAGAGCAGCCTCACCACCATTGAGAAGCGCTTTGGGCTCTCCAGTTCTTCCTCAGGTCTCATTTCCAGCTTGAACGAGGTGAGAGAGAGGTCGTGAGCCATCATGACCAAAGACTCTGGGAAGGGCAGAACAGGGGGCTGGTGTGCATCCCAGCTACAAACCTCTGCATCTGGAAGCAGAACACAACTCCTAAATGTTGGCCTTTGACTTGGATAATGACCTAGCATGCACTGTCCTCACTCAGAGACAGCCAGGAAACAAAACTATGACATTTGTATCACTGTAGCCCTAGCCCATGGCGCTTGTGTGCATCCCAAGTCTCCCACCGTTCTTATTGAGTCCAGATACCACCTGTGACTCCTCACACAGTGTTCTCTACTAAGTAAAATCAGAGCTGGCATGTAAGACAGACTCCCTCTTCTGGCAGCCCAGAGGATCCAAAACCACGAGCTTCCAAACTGTCATACACATTGCTCCAATGCTTGGAACAAAATTGAGGGCCCAGGAATAACTGGATTTTGTGTAGTGGTGTGCGTGTGCATGCGTGTGTGTGTGTGTGTGTGTGTGTGTGTGTGTGCGTGTGTGCACGTGCACATGTGTACACATGTGTACACGTGTATGGAGGCCAGAGGTCAACATCAGGTGTCTTTTCTCAACGATTCTCCACCTTAATTTTTGAGACAGGGTCTCTCACTGATGTGTATCAATTTGTCTAGGCTGGCCAGCCAGTGAGCTCCAGGGTTCCTTCTGTTTCCACCCCCATCCCTCCCCAGGGCTGGAATTACAGCACTCTACCATACATGGCTTTTATATGACTGCTGGCGATCCAAACTCGTCTTCATGCTTGTGTGGCAGGTACTTTACCAACTGAACCATCTCCCCAGTCCCCAACCCCAACTAGATTTTTGTTAGGGAGTAGCTAGCTGGAACATATGGCAGGGTCTGTTTAAGACAAAAAGCTGGCGAGCTGGCTCAGTAGTTAAGAGCACTGGCTGCTTTTGCAGAGGACCCAGAGTGGGTTCCCAGCACCCACATAGTGGCTAATAACCATCTGTAATTCCAGTTCCAGGGAATCTGACACCCTCTTCTGGCCTCTACAGCCATTGCATGACATAGGTGCACTTAATATACATGCAAGCAAAACCCTCATACACATAAAATAAAAACAAGTAAATAAAGAAATTTAAAGATAAGTGATTTAGGAAAGTAAGGAGCATGACACTTTCCCAGGGCTCTGATTCAATCAAAATGAAAATAACTTACCCATGAAACTTCCTCTTTCCCAAGCTCAGATAAACTCTTCAAGAACCCAACTATAGACCATACCTTCTGGCATGAGTTAAGGCAAATACCACCAGATAGTTCACTCCTCTGACCTAACAGTCCTATGTACATGTCTGTGTGTCACTAAATATGATTCTGTGTCTATGTGTCAGAATATTTTATATGACCATGTGTCTGTATGTATACTTCTGTGCTGTCTGTACAGATCTGTGTCAGTGGGTGTCTGATTTATTTGTGTCTGTGTGTTTGTATGTGAGTATTTCTGTATGACTATATATGTGCCTGTGTGTAATTATATCTGTGGGTATCTGAGGATATGTGTGTGTGTGTGTGTGTGTGTGTGTGTGTGTGTGTTGTTCTTAGCCAGGTCGGTGCGAAGAGTCCAGCCTGGTACAAGGGTAGGTGAGGCCATCTGAGTGTGCAGTGAGCATGAGCCTTTGGGCTGAAGATTCAATCTCAAAGCTTTCTGGGGACAGATGAGATGAAAAGGCACTGGCTGCTTATGACAGTTCAAAGGTAGGTGGAGGTGCTTGAAGAGAGAAGCCATGGATGTGTTGGCCTTGGAAAGTAGCTGCTCCTATTGTCCACTCCAACATGACAGCCAGAGCTAAACAGAGAAGGTGAGCTGGAGCCCTTGAGGCCCATCTCCAGTCCCCAGGTCCCTTGATTTTGAGAAACTAAAGAGAATGTCTATTAATGAGCAGCTTTTAAATGTCCCCTGACCAGCAAGTAGATGGAGCTGTTCTGGGGCACTCTGAGGCCGATAGGTGAGACTGAGGCCCTTTTCCTCTTGCCTAGAACAAGTGCAGTTTGGGGTGTGATTTCTATTGGGGAAAAAAGAATTCTTTCAAAGGCTCTCCTCAGCTGAAAAAAAAGCTTGGGAGTAAGTTCATGATGCCTGAGCAAATCCAGTGACCTACAAAAAAACGGGCCTGGGCCCCAGGAAAGTCAGGAAGGCTTTTGCAGATGAGTGGGACTCGGGCACCCCAACTTTCTTTCCTGGGTCCCCTTTAGGGCTCACCACTACTTATCACACATGCCCTTTCCAATCAGCTAACAGCTGAAATGATCAGACGTTTCAGTCAGTTCATGGAAAACAATGGAAAAGCAAGACGGAAAGAAAAGAAACCCAGGGAACAAGAGTCACGCTCTTTGTCCAGGTGCCCCATTGCAGAATGTCCTGGAACCTCTGAGGCTGGAGAGTTCCCTGCTGAGACCAGACTGCCTCCTCGCACACCTCACAGATCTTTACACTCTTCTCTAAGTGTCACAGACTCTTACTATTGGCATGTTTCTCAACACATGTTAATGAGTTCCAACTGTGTAGAAGACACTGTTCTAGGTGCTGAGGGGGCAGAAATGAACAGATGGACAAAAGGCTAAGGAGAACTGTATAGGGCTAGATAAGGCTCTAGTAGATCCAGTGATAAGTTCTGTGAGAAAGGCAATCATGGGAGGAAAAGGGCAGACAGAGGCCAGAGTGGCAGATGTAAGGAACGTGCTGTCTAAGAAGCATCAGGAACACCGAGTGGTTGATGTGTCCAGTCTAGAAGGGGCCTGGGAGTGGTGTGTTTCTTGTCCCTCACTTTGAAGAGTTTGGGGTGAATGTGACTGGATTAGAAGCAGAGTTGTTGGGGCAGAAACCCACTTCCCCAAGAGGCCACAGACCATTCTATTGAAGCCTGGACGATCTAAAGTCAGACCACTCTGGCCTAAGCCACTTCCTGATCTCATGGGTATAGACATGATACTTAACTATTCTGCAGTCAAATGTGAAATAAGAGTTGGTGCATGGTATTTGAGATATTCATGTTGATTAGTTGTTATTCTGACTTTCAGGCCTGAGTCCCTGGGTCCTCTACTTTGGCCTCATTAAATTTAAGAGTTTAATTAGGAAATGTATGCTGCTCCAGGTGTCAGCTAGGATTAGAAGCTTCCTTGAATTTTTCCCTGACTTGTCTAGAAGGGCTGGGGAGATATCTCAGTTGGTAAAGTGCTTATCATGCAAACTGACTTGAGTTCAATCCCTAAAACCCACATAAAAAAGCAGATGTGGTGACACATGCCAGTAATCCCAGAGTTAGGGAGGCAGAGATAAGAGGATCCCTGGGCCAACCAGCCTGGCCTACTTGGCAAGCTCCAGACCAATGAGACTCTGTCTAACAAAAAGGGTGCATGGTGCCTGGAGACCCCATTGATGCTGGGCAGCCATCCCTGTTTGTTCTTCCTGGGTGAAGTATGGTCATGTCTCCTCTGGGCTGAGGGAGGTCCTGACATGGGTCTCATTCTCTCTCTCTCTCTCTCTCTCTCTCTCTCTCTCTCTCTCTCTCTCTCTCTCCAGATCAGCAATGCCACCCTCATCATCTTTGTCAGTTACTTCGGCAGCCGGGTGAACCGGCCCCGGGTGATTGGCATCGGGGGTCTCCTCCTGGCGGCAGGTGCCTTTGTCCTCACCCTCCCACACTTCCTCTCGGAGCCCTACCAGTACACCTCGGCCAGCATCGGTGAGTAGCCCAAACCCTGGCTCAAGGGGATGAGACAGGGTGAGCATGCTGCTGCGTTCGTGTTGGTGCTTGGTGGGTTGTGGATGCTAAGCTGGGCCATGCGGTCCTCTTCCACCAGACACTACCCTTGACTTTAGTTGTTTGGTTTCTCCCCAAAGCACATCTGAAGCTCGGGACATACTGAAATGCACAGAAACATGCAGTCTCTTAGCTTCCCAGTCCCTGGCTTGTTGAGGATGGAGTAGGTTTGTCTGGTGGCTCACCTCTCCCGATTCCATGTGCTTCGGGCCAGGGTTGAGCCAAACTCCACTTGCCTAGGGACACCTGTGAGCAGCCCCACAGTGAGGCTTGGAGGAAAGAGGGCCAAAGTGCAGAGCAAGATGAAGTCTGAATTTTCTTGATGCTCAGTGACTCGTCACATTTGTTCGTTATGGTCTAAGCTACACAGCACTTGCACATTGTACTCGTTTAGTCTCCTGACACCAATGAAGGACAGAGACAAGGTAGGAGGGGCCTTATGTAACTTTTCCTGGGGAAACACAAACAAATGTCTAGTCACTTCAGATAGGACACTACAACAAACCAAAGAAATGATTCTACCCAAGTCTAGCTAGGTGAACCAGTAAGATTATTGGGGTTACTCACAGGAACATGGGTAAGGGGCATGAGTAACTCAAAGGCAACTACATCACCAAAAGGCACTCCCCCCCCATGGGTGAAGTCGCTAAAACTGCATCCCTGGAACTCCCTGTCCCCTCTTCCCCCAGCAATTGTTTCCAGCTTTATATGGCCTTGGGGAAGAACCTTGTACATTTTGTAACTTTGGTGAACTTCCTGAGCCTTTTAAGTTTCATTAACTTCCTTAGACTTAGGAGCCAGAGGGGAATGTCCCAATTGAGAGGAAATAGTACATACTAGGACTTTCCACTGGAAGCTGTTCAGTTGCTTTCCCATGCTTCAGGTGGTTGAGGAGAGAGAGGCTCACATCTCCTAACCCTCAGGCAAGGGCCCCTTCTGTGACCCAAACTTCTGCTTCTTAGTGAGATGTCCTGTGGCAGGATGAAGTGAGTAGGGTTCGTGTGATCCATAAACATGGTGTTAATTAGCACTGAAGCTCTGGGAAGAAGTCTCTTTCCCTTTGATTTGACCTTATTATATTTAATGTTATTATTAGCATATACTAATTATATATAATACTGGGTCTCATTATGACATTTTCATACATGTTCATAATGTGTTCTGATCACATTCACTATTTTCTTTCCCTACTCCTACTAATCCTCTGCCTTTCCCCAACTAGTCCAGCTTCTGCTTCCATGTCTTTTTGTCTTGTGAAACCCAATGAGTTTCATTGGCTGTTTACAGGAGCACAGGCACCTGACCAGTGACTCCACCACTGAAAAAAATATTCCCCTGATCCTCATCACCCCATTAACTGCTTATAAATCCTTAGGGAGGGGAGAGCCCCCAAGAGCCCCTCTTCCTTCCATGGCAAGGTGTACACCAACCCAGTGTGGTTCATATCTTGTGACGGTAACAGCTGCTGTGCGTTCATGAGTACAACAACCTGTCATAACCAGAAGTCAGTGCTCCACATATCTGTCCCCTTCCTCTGGCTCTTCCATTCTTTCCATGGTGTTCCCTCATCTTTGGAGGGGATGACATAGACATCCCATTTATGGCAATTCTATTCATTTTATTTTATTTTGTAGTTTGTGTATGTGGAGGTTTTTTTTTTTTTTGCCTGGATGTAAATGCACTATGTGAATGTAGTGCTCTCAGAGGCTGGAAGAGGGTGTCAGATCCCCTCGAACTGGATTTACAGATGCTTGTTAGCTGTCATGTATGTGCTGGGAACTGAACCCAGGCCCTCTGCAAGAGCAGCTAGTGCTCCTAACTGCTGAGCCATCTCTCCAACCCTAGTTATTCTATCTTTAATATAAAAAATTCAATGGGTAACAATAAATAATACAAAATATCTGTGTACTGATTATGAACATGCAGCAGTTTTCCTTCAGATAGACACCTGGATTTTTAAACATTATGTATATGTAGGTATGTGTACACAAGTGCACAGAGGCATTGGATCCCCTGGAACTGGAGTTACAGGAGATGGTGAGCGGCCCAGCATAAGTGCTGGGAACTGAACTTGGATCCTCTGCAGGAACAGTATGTGCTTTTAACTGCTGAACAATCTCTCCAGTTCTGATGCTTGCTATTTTTAATAGCCTTATTTAGATTCAATTCAAGGACCCCCCAAGATGACTCAGTGGGTAAAGGTACTTGTTGCTCAAGCCTGATGGCCTAAATTCAATCCCTGGAACCCATGTGAAGGTGGAGGAGACAGCACACTCTAAGGAACTGTCCTCTAGCCTCCACACACATGCCTTAACATACACACCCTGACATACACATTTACACACACAGTAATAAATAAGTAAATAAATAAATAAATAACAAAGATTCAATTCGTATGCCATATAATTCACCCATTTAAAATGTATAATTAAATCAGTTTTGGCATATTACATTCTTAAGTTTTAAAATTCTCGTAAAATGCATATAAAATCCGTTCTTTCAACCACTACATGTACAGTTTGGTGTCATTAAATATATCCTCCATGTTGTGCAGCCACCACTGACATTTCTAAAACTTTTTCATCACTTCAGACAGAAATTTTATACCCATAAGCAGTATCTCTTCATCGCGACTCCCCCTGTGAGCAGTTGGACTCACCTGCTTGGTGGCTCTGTGACTTTGCCTAATCTGGGTATTTCATGTAAGTAGATTCTACAGTACCTGTGGTTTCGGGCTGATTTCACTTAGCTCCATGTCTTCAAGATTTATTCCTGTGGTATCATATGTCAGCACTTATTCATTTATGGCTAAATTATATTCCATATATATATATATATTAGACATATATAATGTGTTGTTTATCCGTTCATCTGTTGATGGAAACCGGTGTTGTCAGATACATGTTTTGCTGTTGTTTTCTGAGACAGCGTTTCCCTGTAGCCCCAGCTGACCTGGAACTCCTTATGTAAACCAAGCCTGCCTCAGTCTCACAGAGATCTGCCTGCCTCTGTTTCCTGAGTGCTTGGATTAAAGGCATGTGCCACCACTCCTGGCCAGTCATGTCTTTTTAAAGAAGTAAAGCATTACCTCCTTCCCAGCCAGATAGCTTATTGGTGTGCTTCCTGTTTCTTGTTCTGTTTTCTGGTGTTCTATTTCTTTAGTTCTGCTTTTCCTTCCTGCCAGTTTGGAAAGTGTGACTTATTAATCATCTTACATTTACCACAATTTAAAAAATTACTGTATAATAAAATTGACTCTCGAGAGCTGGAGAGGTGGGTCAGCGATTGAGAGCGCTGGCTGCTCTTGCTGAGGACTCAGGTTCTGTTCCCAGCACCCACGTGGCTGCTCACAACCACCCATAACTCCAGGGGACCCGATGCCCTCTTCTGGCCTCTGGGTGTATCACAAGCACACAATGCACTTACATACAGGCAAAACACTCATGCACATAAACTAAAAACAAATCTTTTAAACATCGATTCTTATTGGGGGTGATGTGGGGTAATATACAGTTTCATAGATTTGGACACCTTTATATATTTGTGTCACCACCACCATGATCAGGATGCAGATAGTTCCATCATCACACAAACTCTGTCCTAATATCTCATAGTTGCCAGACTCTCCCTGAGATCTACAACCACTCTTCTATTCCTGTCATTATGTCCTTGTGTTTTTGATAATCACATAAATGTAGCTGTTTGAAACTGGCACACACCTTTGAAATTCACCCAAGTTGTTGATTTGTTAGTAGTTCACATTTTATTTGTGAATAGCATTGCACTGTATGGCTAAACTGAAGATTGTTTCCCCATTCGCCTATTGAAAGCCGTCTGAATGTGTCCACTTTGCCGCCCTTATTAATACAGCTGCTGTAAATAGTTGTGTACAGGTTTTTGTGTGAATATAACTTTACAACATTAAACATCTTCTTCTTTGGTAAACTGTGTTCAAATATTCTGCTTGAGGTTATTTGTGTTTGTGACAGAGTCTCACATAGTAGCGGCTGACCTTGAATTCCTAATCCTCTTGCATCAGCCTCCCAAATGCTGGGATTAAAAGTATGAGTGACATATGACCACTGGATGGGCTTACTAGACTCCAGTGGATGCATTTACACTGAAGGACATTTGGGTACAAACGCCTGAATGAATAGGACTCAGCATGTATGGCAGAGTGTATAGGGTTCAGTGGGGGGATAGAGGGAGGCATGGATGGGGGAGGGGTCTGGATTTGAGTGGGCAATGTTGTATGAAATTTTAAAAGGTCAATTTAAAAAAGTGGAAAAAAAGTGTGAGTGACCACATTGCCAGTGCTGATTGTTGACTGTTGAATTTGGAATTTGTACAAATTCTAGATAGTTCTTTGTTGGTTATGAGATTTACAAATATTTTCTCCTAGTCTTTAGCTTATCATGTATATACTTTTAACAGAATATTTGTCATTTGCAGAGCAAAAAGTGATTTTAATTTGATGAAATCCAATTTATCATTTTTTTTTCTTTCATGACTCAAGTATTTGGCACCACATTTAAGAACTCTGCCTAATCCCAGGAGAAGGAGATTTTCTTCTGTTTTCTAAGGGTGTTGCACTTTTGTGTTTACATAGAGCTTCAATCCATTTTGAGTTACCTTTCTATAGCATTTAAAGTTTTCCTTTTGTGTATGGATGTCAATTTTTTTAGCACCATTTGTTGCAAAAACTGTATTTTCTCCATAAAGTAATCTTTGTACATCTCAGTGGTAGAGTACTTACCTAAAATGCATGAGGCCCTGAGTTCCATCTCCACACAGGAAAGAAAATTGTCCATGTATATGTGGGCTCAGTTGTGACTTTCCATTCCATCCCATTGATCTGTGTGTCACCTTCACCAGTATCCGATTGTTGTTTGTATTTTTAAAAAACCCTTCTGGAATTTTTA